GCGGGCGCTGAGGCAGGGGAGGGTCGGTGAAATCTGACTAGCCAGTGGGCTTAGTGACTCCAGGGTCTCTCCAGTCCTGATGGCTCTGACTCCCCCGACACAGTCTCCTAAGCCCGCCCCCACCCCACCATCTCCCAGACAACCAGGGTCTTATGTCCCTGCTAGACCACCACTCGTCACCTGTGGTCTGAGCCACCTTGACCAGGCCTCTTCGGAAGATGCTCTTCAGCCTCAGCTTCATATTGAAGTTCTTGGCCCCGCCGGTCACGGAGATCAGGAGGTTGGGGACGTCAAGGCCCCAGTGCTGGGTCATGAGCTGGTAGATCACACTGGAGGGTGTGTCCTGGGAGACGCGAACAAACTGTGGGGAACCAGAGATAGTGCAGGGGGCCCCTGTGTCGGGGTGCAGCCTTCACATTCCCCAAGGGGTGGGGTCACTCAGCCTGTACCCTGGGGCCCAAGGTCCAACAGCACAGCAAGAAGGGACAAGTGCATTGACCTGCACAGATAAAGCCAAGGGGATGCCTCATACCCTGCGTCTAGACCCGGTAAGGGAAATGACCAGTGTCCTTCTGGGACACAGACTGTGAGAGAAAAGAAAAGGAGGTGAAGGACCAGCAGAGAGACTCAGGCTCCTGGGACAGCCAGTGCCTCTCTTGCAAACTCCCCCAGGCCTAGCTATCCCTGCCGCCCTTGTTCTCCTCATCCTCTATTTGGGAGAACACCCAGACATGCCCCACATCTCTGGTCCTGCTTTCTGCCCTGATGGACCCCATGGTCCTGCCAAGTCTAATCAGTCACTGCCTTTGGGTCTCCTTCCTTCTTTCCTGATGCACCTAGCTCCGCCTTCCTCTGGGCCAGCCCTATTTCATGTCCTGTGCCCCAGCCTGTCAGATGGGTTTTATAGATTAGCTTTTCTCTGCCTCTTGTCTAGACTCTGCCCTTCAAAAGCCTCTTCTTACCCTGAGTCTTTATTTCTACAAGGCTTTATAAGCCACTGTGACAGTATGACTCAAAGTGGCTCCAGGGTCAAGTGACCCCACCCCCAGGACCCTCTCACTTAACATCTTTGGCCAAGTGCTCATTGCCATGAAAGGTGCTCAGGGAGGTGAGTGATAAAGTCACACCAGCTGGTCAGAGGCTGAGGGGTTCTAAAACCAGCTTTGCTCAAATGCAGGTAAGCCTGGCCTCCCTTCCCACAGCCCCCCATCATCCCATAGCATACCCAAGTGTCCTGTGCCCTGTGTCCCTCTCCTTGCTCTCTACTTTCTCCCAGGCCTGACTAACATGATCCAGGGCCACCCAGCTGGACTCACCCACACCCTCACATGTGTACCTTCTGAGAAAGTTCGCCACATCTCACCCCGCTCTATGGACAGAGCCTGTCTCCTGTTTGCCTGCAGACCCCCACCCCACTCATGCTTAGCTTTGTGTGGGCTCTGTGTACCCTGTGTTTCTGCCAACCTCCCACCTTTACTCCAGGAAATCCAGCCACCAAGTGTCACCATGAGGCCATGACAGATCCAGCCATAATTACAAGCAACAGAGTTGTTGAAGAAGATGAATATGTGTACATCTTTGATTTGATTATTATTTACTATTGCATGTCTTTAAAAAGCCTTCTGTAGCCCACTAAGATATACATTAATTATTCGGAAACCAGAAATAGTAATTTTAAAAAAATTAAAAAAAAAAAAAAAGGCAGCAGAAGATGGAAACCCACCTTTCCCACTTTCTGGCCCAGGCCTGTGAATATGATGTCACCAAAGGCATCTGTTGGCATCTCCTGGACGTGCTTTTTTGGGTCCCACTGTTTGCCCTGGAAAGCACGGGGCATGATGGCCTCCTCCAGGTGCTGCCCACGTGTGTGGCCACACTCGCATACTACCTTCCTGCAAAGATACAGCCTGGTCACCTTCACCCTCCCCTCAAGCAGTGAGCCCTGCCCCACCCAGCCGGGTGATTTTAGCAGAGGTGGAGTGGGCTCCAGGCCTCCCGAGCTGTGTCACTGCACTGAATTTGGACATCTGCCCCTCATGATGATGAGATGGTGTTCTTCTTACCCTGCTGGAGACAGGACATAAGAACTAGCTAAAACAAGATTCAGTCATAAAATCTAAGCAATCGAGGTTTCCATCAAACATCACTAGTTACACCAAGAACCAGGAAAATCTCAACCAGAATGAAACATGACAATCAACAGCCACTGACACCCTGATGACATGGGTATTAGGATTACCTGACAAGGATGTTAAGCCACACTGAAAAGGCTTCGATAGCTGTTACAAACATGCTCAAACAAGTGAAATATATAAAGTTTCAGCAAAGACAAAGAAGATAGGCCGAACTGAAATTTAGCACTGAAAACTGCAGTAACCAAAATAAAAAGTTCAGTGGGTGAGCTCAACAGACAGAGGGAATGGGAGTGGGGAGGAGAATCCACAAGTGAGAGGATAAAACAATGAAAATCACCTCAAAAGAACAACACAGAGGGGTTGATCCCCAGTGGAGCAGGAACCCGCTGCTCCAGAGAAGCCAGATTCCACACGGCAGCTACAGTCAGAGACCATCCCGGTCAGCCTCGAACATGCCAGGCAAGCACATGCGTGGTGAGATCTGATGGGCTAGAGGACTGGAAGAAGGGGATCGTGGTGTGATTAGATCCTATTGTTGTGCCTTTCTCTCTCTGTCTCATGCTTCTACCTTACACACGCTGTATCATCAATAAAGAAAAATATGGTGACTGGATACTATGACCATTTAGAGACAGACTTATAGGTTTAAAAACCAATAAAAGAAAGAGAAAAACAACATAACAACATCCCCTATCCCCTCCCCCCCCCAAAAAAAAATAAGCAGAGTTTCTGGGGCCTACACAAAGATGGAACATGTAGGACACAGGCATGGCGGGAGTACGAGAGGAGGTGCCTGCAGACATGCATAAGGAAATCGGCCTTAAACTTCCGTGTTTGACCAAGCAGACAAAGGCACCAAGTCAAGAATTTGTGTGAACCACAAACAGAATAAACCTAGAGATGCACCAAGACACATCACAGTAGAACTTCTAAACCCAAAGCAGAAGCACTCTTGAAAACAGCAAGGCAGAAGCAACTACCTTACCCCAGGACAAAAACAACGCCATTAATTGGTTTCTTTCTTTTTTGTCTTTTTTTTTTTTTTTTTTAATTTTTGCTATAGGATGCATGTACTTGCTGGAGACAGAGAGATAGAGAGAGAGGGAAGACAAAGGTGAGAACTCACTCCCCAGAAAGGAGGGCCAGGCTGCGATTCCTTCTCCTCTATTCTCTTCTCGAGATTTTGGGCACACATGCCTGATGTGATTTTCAAGCCACCAGCTCTGGGACTCGAACCATGGTCAGCCATGTGGGAATCCAGTGCCTTAACCACCATGCCACTTGCTGGGCCCAACTAATACATTTCTTATCAGAAGTAGGGAGGACAGAAAAAAAAATGATGTTTTTTAAATGCTGAAAGGTAAAAGTGCCAACCCAGGATTCCATCTCTAGCAAAGAAGAAGAGGGTTGAAGGAAGACTAAGGGAACTTATCAGAGGCAGGACAGCCCTGGGAGAATGGCCAAACAGAAATAAAATAATAAAAGAAAGAATCTGGAATATCAGAAAAGAGGTAAAACAACTGAAAGAGCAAAAGTACAACACATTTCCTTTCTCTAGAATTTTCTAAATTCTCTTTGAGAGTGGATGCAAAAATTCTAGCATGACCTGACATGGTTCTCAGTGGATGTAGAAAGGCTATTTTTTTTTTATTTGCCAGTGGTTGTATGTGCTCACCAGAGCTCACTCTAACAGGTAAAAATATCAACATTAGTAGATTTAACGAATGATATTTATTTATTTATTTATTTATTTTTGAGAAGTTTTTGCTATAGGGAGCATGTGTTTGCTAGGAAGACAGAGAGACAGGAAGTGAGAAATCACCCCCCAGGGGCGATGGCCACACCGCAATCCCTTCTCTTCCATTCCCCTCTTGGGATCTTGGGCACGTATGCACACCCACCCACTGTGAGTTTAAGTCACCGGGTCCGGGACACACCCACACTCGGGATCTTGGGCATGCACGCACACCCACCCACTGTGAGTTTAAGCCAGTGGGTCCAGGACACACCCACGCTGGGAACTCCTGAGAAGGAGCAGCGAAGTTAGCACAGTGGGGCCCGGGCAAGTGATATCTCTGGACTTTGATGTCCCTGCAGTAGAGGGGTTGGACTGTGGACCTCCTCTGTGGACCTTCCCCCTCTTGGGTCCTGCACCTCTGTCTATCCCAGAAGGAAATTCAATATTCTAGATGCATCTGGTGCCTAAACCACAGGGCTAGAGTCCAGGCACCACTGCATGGTAGCCCATTCCAACCCTGGACAGGTCACTACACTCTGCACCTTGTGACTCCTTCTGCAAAGTCGGTTGGCGGGGGCAGCCATTCCCAACCAGAGGCTCATGGGTGGGAAGAAGGGAAATGTGTTGAGGACCAGAAGCCCTGGCCTTCCTCAAAGACACAGAGCATTCCTTACTGACTCTGCTGCAGCCCTGGTGGTCTTGGTTTAATCAATTCCTCTACACAGGATCAGAAGAAAGAAGTTAGAAATTAAATGCAAAACATGCCACTCACCCAGCATCAGACAATTTTGGACTTTCCACAAAATACACACATTCTTTCTTCTTGATGTTTTCAGGAATCCATGACCTGAGATTCTCTTGCTGAGGATAAAGAGGGTACTTTGAGATCAAACTGGTTATAAAAGAACATTGTCCTCAGCCTCTCAGTCACATCTGTGCCCACTGACAAGCTCTGGGACACCCTTTAGCGAAGGGAGACCTGCCGGGCCCACACCACACCCAGGGTTGAATGTATCCTTGCCAAAGGTTCTCAGGTGTGAATTCGGGAGGGAGAAAAGAATCCCCCAAGTCATTTCCTTGGGCCTGTTTTGAATATGCACAGAACTCCACAGTTTACAGGTCACTGCTGCCTTCCTTGGGAACATCACGGTGACATGGAGGCTGAGAACCTGGGCACCTGCTTCTCACTCTCGCCACCAAGGAGGGGTAGACTCCATCCTGCCCACCTGACAAGGAGACTGGGGAATTCAAATGTGCTTTCGACCTGTTTTTATCCAGGGCTTTCAGTGAGGCTAGCCCAGGCCGTGTGGTTGTTCCCAGGGCCTCTGCAGCCAGATAAAGGATGTGGATTCATTGTGAAACAGGGCAGGAGAGGCGACAGCTTCCCATGAGTCTAGACTTCAGTGTGTACATGGTGATTTCCCACCCTGACCAAGAACTGGAATTGATTATGCGACCACAGGGGTGATCAATCCTAGACACTTCTGATTCTGTCCAAGTCTACTCTTTCTCGGCTGGCACGCCTTCCACCAGGCGGGAAATATGCCTGCTCCCACAGTGGCCAACTGTGCCCACAGCACCCGGTTGGCTAATGTGCAGGCTGGCCAACATGCCCACCTTCTCATTGCTGCCGCAGGGGTAAGGTCCCCTCCTACTCTTGCCCGAGCTGCTGTGGCTTCGCTGGAGGTTGAGGGCCATGCCTCGATCCAAGATCCTCCTGGGCTGTCCCTCCAAGTCTTCCCTCTGCTCAGAACCAGCTTTCCTCGGGGCCAAGGGCTCCATCCCAAGCCCTCCTTCCCAGATCTGCTTCCTTCAGGACAGTCTTCCAGTTGGCTAGGCTGAAAACACACCACGGGCGTGCTGCTGGAATAGGTCAAAGAAAGGAAGAAGAGGCCGACGTTCTGAGAGAACCAGTCTCTTCATGTGGAGCTTTGTCTGCCCCTCCCTATCAGTGTACACATTTTCCCCGGCTGTCTGAGCTCTGTCCCAGGCCAGGCCTCCTGGGCCCTCCGTAGGTGCACACGCATCTGGCACCCAGGTGCCCATTGATGTAGGATTAACCTCAGGCCATGGCTCAGGACCAGACAAGCTCCCTCCCCCATTCACCACTCCCAGCAAGAACTCAGCAACGTGGGAAACCAGCCATGGGAGCGAAAGCGCCATGGCCGTCACACTGCGTGAGTGCACAGTGGCTCCACATCTGTTTCTAGACAACAGTTTGCTTTCTCATTTTCCCAAAAGAAACAAAAAAGAAAAGGCTCCACTGCCCACAAAGTGAATTTCATTCAGAATAAGAGCGCTCCGTGCTGAGAGACAAGACCACTAATTAGACCAATGTTTTTTCTCAAATCCTTTCTCCCTGCCTCTAATGTGTTCTCCATTACCAAGACCACAGAAAGTCATCAATTTTTTTCTCATTCCACAAGTAAGAAAAATAAATGTGTCCAAGCCCTGAGTGGCTTCCCTAGGCCCATGGCACCCAGATGCTGTCCTTTTAATGCCATCCTGGATACACCCCCACAGGCACCTTTCTGCCCTGAAAGGCATGAAGTGGAGGGTCACCTGGGGACAGAAGAACTGGCCTAGGACATCCCTTCCTCCCCTTACCTGGTGCCGTCTCTGGCCGCATCAGTCCCCCAACACTGGCAGTCACTGACGGATAGGCCCGTCCCCTGGTCTCTGAGCCTCGCTCAGGGCAGACATTCACAGACCACCCCTCTCCTCACCATTGTCACTTCTCCCATGGGCCTCCCTTACCCCTCACCCTGGGACCACACTCAGTCCCAAACCCCCTACCTGCGATGGAATGTTACTCTACTCACATGAAGACAGGGACCCCCGGCCTCCTCACACAGCTGTCAGAGCAGATCTTATGCCTGGGTGGCTTACAGAGCTGTGTGCCCCCCTTGTCGCAGCTCACCTGGCCTCACAGCTGCATCAGAGCCTGGCAGACGAGCAAGAAACGGTCCGAGCTGGCACAATAGCAGAAGGAGGCTCCAGAAAGTTTACAGTTAAGCAGTCAGTCCTAAAGATGGCTCCCGGGACAGGATGTGATGTCAGGAACCAAGGGACCGAGTGACGGGCAGAGTACATGTGATCGAGGACTGAGCCTGTCCAGGGAGCGCTTAAGTGTTCTCGTCCACTTCCTCATTTTCAGATAGTTGCCCAACTCAGCGCATCCGCTGGGGTCTATGCTGACTTTCGCAGATCTCAGCTGCAAACAGACCCCTGGGTGGCATATCAACCCCATTACACCCACCCATCACCCACCAGACCTGCAGGCTGGGGCTTAGAACCATGTTGTAACCAATCCGATGCCCAGCTGCATGGGGGACGCTGACTCGACCCTTCCTCTCCTTCCCCTTCCTTGCCCAATAAGATGAGGTACCTCAGTCCAAGTAGTGGGGTGGGGGTGGGAGACCAAACCTTACATACCCCACCCCACATTCTCTGGGTTCATCTATCCAAACCACATGCTCGATGGCTTTGTTCACATGTCACCAGAAGGCAAGTCAGCCAGCCGGGTTTATAGCTAAAATTCTCCACAAGGAACTAACATGGATGTGTGTGTTGAGAGCACTCGGAAAGTGGACTTCCAAGAAGATAGATTGTTAGATAGATAGATGATAGATAGATAGACAGATAGATAGATAGATAGATAAATAGTAAATAGAGTCTGATGGCACAGACACCTGGATGCAGAGTTACCAAAAATAGATAGACAGACAGACAGATAGATAGATAATTAGTAAATAGAGTCTGATGGCACAGACGCCTGGATGCAGAGTTACCAAACCACATCTAGAAATCATCAAGCCAGGACCTTGCTGTAATGGAGCCCAAATAGGACAAGGCCCGGTGTGGGGTGAATTTCCAAATATGAGCTCTGCATTGAGCAATTCCTGGAGGAGTTAGGAGTTGGAGGAGCCCAGAGGAGAAGCAAGCACAGAGGAGCCACAGAGCAGCCATTGCAGCAGCTGCCCTGGTCAGAAGTCCTTGCATTGCAGGGATGCAGGCTGCAGACCACCCCCACCATCAGGGGCCGATGCCAAGGCCACGTGGAATAAAATTCACAGACACGACTTGTTACAGCTGCCACATGTTCCCAGAGTGAGAACTGGCCTAGAAAGCACTTCTGGGTGCCCCCCTCCCCCAGCCCAAAAGATTCACTGGGAAATGGAGCAACCTCATGTGTGGGGTTAGTCCTCCTGCACACTGGTCGGTCCCTGGCTGAGGCAGGTGCATCCTCCTTTCTACTTTCCTGAGTTACTCTGCTGCCTCTGGAGCCCCATCAGCCTCCAGAGCCACCCTCACCCAGCATTGCTACCAGCTGTCTATGACAAAGCCAGAGCCCCTTCCCAAGTACCTCTTCCCTTTTAGCTGCCCCCTTTCCCCTTCCCCCTCCCCAGGCTGGTCAGCTCCTCTGAAGTCCTGCCTGTGAGAACACATCCCAGACTATAAATAGCTGGAGGCAACCGAGGAGGCAGAGGAAGTCAGGGCCATTTCTGTGGTCCTGCCTGAGGGTCCACAGGACACTGGCCAAGTCACTCATCCCCACCCTACCAGTCCCCTGACTGGCTCATCACAGTGCCTCTGCTGAGCCCCTGCAAGCACTTGGCACCCTAGCCTGCATCCTCGAATCTGGTGCATCCTCCCCGGCGCGGGCGCGCCCCTGCACCAGCTCCCGCCGCCGCCTACGTCCCAGAACCGGGCCTGAGGTTCCAGAATCAGACCTGCATCCTCGCTAGCGTGCATACTTGCCAGAGCGGGCCCCGAGTCCAGGCGTCACTCATGGCGCTGCGCAGGACTGCGGTCCTGACCGTGCGGGGCGGTCGGCATCTCTGACTCGCCGTGCGCCTGGTGCCGGCGCATTCCGAGTCGCCCGCAGCGCGCTCTGCGTCACTCGGCCTCAGGGAGCGTGTCCCGCGCAGCGTCCCGCGCCAGCGAGCGGCGAGAGTCAAGGACAAGCGGAGCGGCAAGGCCGGAGCGAGCTGGCCTCTCTAGAGCCCTACCTGCCGTTCGCCCTCCCCAGAGACCGCGGGACTGGCCACTCACAAGAGTCAGTGACAAGTGCCTGGTGTGTTTAAGCAGATGGATCGCAGCAATTAATTTCAATCCGGAACCCCTGGGGGAGAGACTATGGGTAGTCTTTGGCGGGCCTGGGCCAGGGCGAGTTACTCTGCTGCCTCTGGAGCCCCATCAGAGACCAAAGCCACCCTCACCCAGCATTGCTGCTGACCATCTGTGACAAAGCCAGAGGCCCTTCCCAAGTAGCAAGGCAGGAGCCCAGGACTGGGCAGGGTCTGTCCCACAGGGTAAGGGCAGGAGCCAGAAGATGGAGCCGTCCCATTGCCACCCCCCCCCCCACACACACACACACACACACGCAGACATCTAGGCTGGACCTTGGTTGCCTTCTCTGGGCTGGCTTGAGGAGTGACAGGGGCTGCACTCTGAGCCTGAGAAGATGACTATTACTTTCCCAAACTCTCCAGACCACAGGCCCCCGTTTTTCACTTCATGATGCCACTCCGTGCTCACTTCCCTACCCAGCTACCACTCCTGAGCCCTCCTGACTTGTGTCCAGGAAATAAGAGGCTCCTATGCCTCTCATCTGGGGGGAGAGGGGGTGGCAGTGCTCACTGACTCCCTCCTGGTCAGCCACCCCTCATCTCCCCAGTCCCCCAGCCCCTGCCGGTGTGCTGCCTGCACCAACACCCCTGCCCAGAGCATGCACCTCTGAAAGGCCCTTTCCTTCACCTCCCCCTGCTTGTCCACTACAAACCAGCTGGCAGGGCTGGGTTGCCTCTGGCCAGAGGGCGTCTACTGCCTTAATAGCAGCCATCCTGGTTTCTGTGAAGCTGTGGGGCAAGAGTCTGAGCCCCTGTGTGGAGTCGGGCGTTACTGTCTCTAAGGCACTTAGCTGGAGCCTGTGTCCAGAGCAAGGAGACCACGTACCATGGGTTTACAGCTGGCCCCAAGTGCCTCTGTGCAGTGGCTCTGCACCACCCACCATGCTCTCCCAGCCTGGCCACAGGAAGGACTCGCGTGCCCACCACAGGAATCAGGCTGTGTGACAAGCCCTATCCCATCCCATCCCTCCCCATCCCATCCCAGAGATACCTTGGGCCTGTGTCGCTGCCAAAGGAATCAGAAGACACTCCTTCCTGCCCAAGAGCCATATCATTGACTAAAGACAGACTGTAGGACACTTAATATTTCATAAGACGATAATGAGTGCCTAGTCGTGCAATGGTCGGCCTGGCTTTCATTTCCAAGTATCCCTGAACATCTGTGAGACGTCTGTTAAGATAAAGCAGTTAATGATCAACTCTGATGGACCCTTCCCTTACAGAGAAGAACCACATGTTTCATAAGAAGGCAGTGTTCCATCTGCCAGGACACCATTGCAATAGCAATTATGAAATATCCTGGCCATAAAAATACAGGTGCATTTGACCATAAAACATCAACACAGCAGGTCCTGATCTCAGCTGAGGGCTGTCTCAAGTTCAGATACAGTAAGCTCAGTGCAAGAAGTTTGTTTTTTTTAATTAATTAATTTATTTGCATTCATTCACTGTACATCATTACAGCATACAAAATGAGATTTGCCACCCAGAGTACACTGTATATTGTCTCAATCAAGCACATCAACAAACATGTTATCATCAGCAAATAATTTTACATTTCTTGTTTTCTGTATGTTTTGCTTTTTTTTTCCCCCATCCTTGATTCCCTATCTCTTACCCTCTGCCATCTCCCACTCTCCTCCCACACTGTCTATGGTATCTATGTTTGCTTTCTATACTGTTTTCCCCCCACATCGTATTGAATTACTAAAGACCTTAATTAATCAAAATATTTTCATAGCAAACACAGCTGATATATACATTTCCATGGACACAAGTCCAGTA